CTAGCGATTTGAAAATGAAGTGGATCAAGTCAAGGTGAGCAAACATGAGCTGGAAGAAGTCCAAAGTAAGGAATCATATATAAAGTAATTTCAAAGTGATCTAGAGCAAAATTCCATGAAAGATTCATAGGTTGATGCAAAGTGATGCACAACAAGGTTGTCTAGGTATAGTTTAGAAATTAGAAGAATAAAGATGAGAAAATAGAAGAATAGAGATAAATAAGAAAAAATTAGGTACTAGTATGAAGAAAGATCTTTCTTAATAGGAAAGCTACTCCAATCTTTTCGAAAAAAAAGTAAATTTACTCCAATTTCCGATATTCTGTTTTGTATCATAAAGTTTTTAGCAGTACGTTCTTGAGTGGCATGACCTCGGGGACTTATTAATTTACATTTATTTTCTCAAAAAGAAAGTTTTGAGCAAAGTTAATCTTGGAAATATGAAGGACGAAGATATAACAAGTGAGAGCACAATTATTTAGGTGCACCAGTTGACAAAAAAAGGTGCCAATTCTTCCTATTATTGAGTTTATCATTGTTGGTTTAAAAACAAGAATAGCTGATAGCAAAAAGATAAAGAAAGATGTGGGAGGAAATTGCAGTATATTTTCCATCATTCAAGACCAGTTATTTATACAAAAAAAGAACTAATTTTCTACTTTTAGTGCCCAATATCTACACTATTACATCTAGAAAACTTCAAAAATATTAGATAAAATCTTAAAAATCTTTTTTCAATCATTTTCTTCTGGCCTTTTTTTAAAAGATTTTATCTGAAACTAATTTTTGAAAAAATATCTGCTGTAATTCTAATTTTCAAAAGTTTATCTGCTGAAATTAAAATATCAGCTGTTCAACACTCCTCCGCATTTTTGTGATAGACACCAGTCTTTTTTATGAGAATTTCAAACCTTTCTTTAGGCAAAGTTTTTGTAAGTATATCAACATGTTGATTATCTAAAGAACAATGAATCAGTACCACTTCATTGGATTGTTGAACTTCTCGAATAAAATGAAACTTGATTTTGATGTGTTTTGTTCTGTCATGAAACACTGAGTTATTTGAAATTGAAACCGCAGAAAGATTATTACATTTGATTTTAGTTGGACCATTTTGTTGATAACCAAGATCAATTAAAAGTTTCTTTAACTAGATAGCTTGATTCACAGCAGAGGCAGCAACAGTATATTCAACTTCAGTTGTTGATTGTGTTGTTGTTTCTTATTTCTTTGAGCTCCATGTGAAGATACCAGAACCCAAAAAGAAAAAATTCCTAGAAGTGCTTTTGAAATCATCTAAACAGCCTCCCCAATTACTGTCAGAATATCTCAGCAGCTTCACTTTTTCATTTTTTGCATTTTTATACATAACACCAAGGTTTATGGTACTTTTCAAGTACCTAAGTATTCTTTTTGCTGCTGAAAATTGTTTTTCAGGTGGAGAATGCATATATCTAGATAAAATACTTACTGCAAACATAATGTAAGGTCTAGTTGCTGTGAGATATAAAAGACTTTCAATAAGAGTTCTATGTAAACCTTCATCAACTTTCTTTCCATCATCTTTATTCAATGTTTTACATTTAGATATTGGAATACCCATATGCTTACAATCTGCTATGTGAAATTTCTTCAAGATTTCTGCTGCATATTTCTTTTGACATATGAAAATTTCATTTCTTGATTGCTCCATTTTCATGTCCAAAAAATACTACATCAGTTATGAATCTGTTATTTCGAAAGCCTCCTTCATTTGAGTTTTAAATGATTTGATGAGTTCAAGATCTTCTCCTGTTATTAACATGTCATCAATGTATAGGGAGACAACCAAAATTTTGCCATTTGCTTCTTTGATATATAAGGTTGCTTCACTATTACTTCTCTTGAGCCCGAGCTGCAATAAATGATTGTCTATTCTGTTGTACTAAGCTCTTGGAGTTTGTTTAAGACCATAAAGGATCTTCTTTAATAGATAAACAAATTTTCTTTTTCAGAAATTACAAAACCATCAGGTTGCCCAACATATATTTTTTCATCAAGAAACCCATTTATAAATGCAGATTTAACATCAAGTTGATGAATTTTTCATTTTTTAAATACAACAAAGACAAAAATTATTCTGATAATGTTATACGTAGCAACTGGAGCAAATATTTCTTGGTAATCGACTCCATGTTGTTGCGCATA